TAATTTATTTTAGTTTTATAAATTTATTTTTGTAATTAAATATTAATTTAAATTTATTAAATTTAATATGTTGTATAAAAGTTTTCACTTACCATGCCGAACCCTGCACAAATCTAAGACTACCGCTAAAAAAAAGGAAAAGGAACATTAGTAAAGTTCCTAAAACAAAAACAAATAAAAATAAAAATAAATTACTAATCATTTAAACGAAAGCTGAATTCTCCACCTTGTCAAAATTCAAGACCACCACTAAGGAAAAAAAAAGAAAAGGAGCATTAACAAAGTTCTTTAAACAAAAAAAATAAAATAAAATAAAAATAAATCACTTACCATTAAACGAAAGCTGAACCCTTCACTTTGTCAAAATTCAAGACCACTGCTAAAGAAAAAAAAAAGGAATATTAATAATGTTCCTAAAACAAAAAAATAAATAAAAAACAAGTTCACTTACCATTTAAACAAAAGCCGAACCCTCCTTCACCTTGTCAAAAACCAACACTGCTAAAAAAAAAGAAAAGGAATATTAATAAGTTCCTAAAAAAAAAATAAATAAAATAAAAAAAATCACTCACCATTAAACGAAAGCCGAATCCTCCACCTTCCTAAAATCCATTTTAACGAAAGTATTAATCGGCAAATTCAGCAACAATTTTTCCAGCTGTTTCCCCTTTTCTATTGCAAAGAATATTGCTTGTATTCTTTATTTTGACAATGATCGACATTTGCAATTTATGAGTCGATCGCGCATTTTATTTTTAGTATCACCTTACCTCCTTTGTTTATTTCACAAAACTGATTTATCTCAAAAACTACTATAAGGTAGTTTCCCTCCCTTTTTATTGCAAAGGGCCCATATAATAATATGCAGCATTTTTATTATACATTATATTCTTTCAGAATAAAATTTCTTTCAACTAAATAAGGGTTATTTTACTTTTGTCTTTCATTAAAGATTTTTCTCATAAATGCACTATATATTATTTAAAATTTTATATAATTAATATTTAAAATTATTTCTTAAAAATTTGTAATTAATAATATTTCAAGTTATAGCTAATTATAACTTATATTTTAAATTGCAACATTTTTTAAATTATAATACATGTTATAATTATTAAAGAATTTATATAATGTTGCAATATAATGTTGCAATGTTAAATATTGCAATATTTTAATTATAGTATTTATTTTTAGTGTTGAATAATTAATAAAGTGAGTTAAATTAAATATATTAAAAATAATTAAAATTTAATGTGACAGATCTATAAAAATTAAATTAATCTATATAGTGATTTATCTTTAAATATTTCTTTTATGAAATTTTATTTACCTATTATATTACATATATTTATAATTTAATTAAAATAAGATTTTTAAATATTAGAATACAAGCAAAAAAACTTTTATTTTGAAAATCTCATGTAAACATTTGGGATTTTTGTAAAAGAAAAAAAAGAAATAGCTAAAAAAATAAAAAATAAGTTAATGATAAATCTGAATATATTTTGATCTAAAATCTCCCTTTCTATTATAAAAGGTTCTATTTAATAAATTATTTTAAAAAAGAAAAGTATATATATGAATTATATTAAGGTTATTTTTTTTATTGCATTATATATATTTTTATTTGTTAATAACATTACATTTAAATAAAACAATAAATTTTTATGAAAATGAATATTCAATTCTAATAATTGAAATTGGAATGGTATGCTAACAAAACTGATAAAAATATAAAAATTTGTAAGATGAAAAAGTTAATAATAAATGAAATCAATCGTTTATTGTATTAGATTTAAATTTTTATTAAAACTATTTAATCAATCATCTTATTGATAGAAAAAAATTTCTTTAAAAAGTTTTATATTTATTTTGTTATATTTATTAAAATTAGAATAATATGATTTTTTACTGAATTCAGTATAAATTATATATGTATTTTATATATTTTTAAAATTAATTATACTTTGTGTAATTTAATTATAAATTTTTGTAACAAATAAAATAGAATGAATAAATATTAGAATATGCTAATACAAATACTATAAAATTTTTTACAAGAAAGTTTTCTGAATATTTACATCATTTAGTTTTATCAAAGAATAAAGAATTTTCTTTAAATAAATTATTATCTTATAAAAATATATAATTCTATTTTAATGAATAAGTATATTAATAATGAAGCATAATGTTAAAAATTATTAATTTTTTATTCTGCAATTATATAAATAAAATTTATAATTTTTATTTATTTACAGATAATAATTACAAGTTTAATAGTAAACATGAATTATATCAGTTTAAGTTTATTTATCATTTTCATTTCAATATAAATCCAATTGCTAAAGATTTGTTTTATTTAAATTATTAATCTTGTAGATTCATTTTTTATGATCTCTAAAAAAAAAAATATTTATGTATAGTTAAAAAAACCTAATTTCAGAACATAAAACTCATCAAAATAGAAGTATTTTTCTTTAATAAGTTTATAGAGATCAACATCAAAGATGTTATTTAAAATCAGATCCACTAAATCAATTTAAGCACTACCTAATATTAAACATATACAGTAAGTTTCAATTAAAGAAATTAGAAATTTTTAAAAAATTGCATCTAATAAATTTCTTATTTGTATTATGCTACATTACAAAATAAATGTTTCTGCATTTCTGTTATTAAAAATTTCACAAAAATGAATAATAATAATCTTAAAAAAAAAAAGATTTTTCATAATTTTTTTATTGCCTTCTTTTTTAAATATAAAGAATGAATGAAATAATTCTAAAAAGCACTAAACATTCAACTTATTTATGATTTTAGAATTTTCCAATTTATTTATAATATTATTATGATTCCATTTATATAAATACAAAAAAAAAAAAAAAAAATGCATTACAGAAGTGTAAAATTTTACACGATTTACATTTTGTACAACGGTCCTGGTATTCAAATTTAGGCCATGATCGACAAAATTCTATTGTATTCCCAAATGTGGTTTATATCCAAGGAAAAACTATCAGCTGTTTGTGAAAATTTAATAATCAGACGAAGCATCTGCTCCTTGATTAGGAAATTCTAATTAAATTAGGAAAAAAATTAAAGGATCAATGAAGCAGAGTTAAATACACATCGCATCATCCTCAGTAAAAAAAAAAGGTATAAAATAGAAACCTTACCAACTCTCACCCTTCACATTTTGACTTTCCAACGGATTAAAATCTCAATGTTATCAAAATTTCATTTCATTTTCATTATCACGGTAGTTCTTATTTCGACACTTGCTATAATCGCTCAAAGTAAAGATCTATAATATTAGTTTTAAAATTTTGTCCCATGATGACTTGTTTAAATTGACTATTCTTCGTTTAACATCAATTATCTATCTTTATCATGAGTATAAATTTCTTTCTTTTTTTTAATTCATTGAAAAGATTCTTTATGTTGCTCACGTATTCCTATTCATAGGAGAGCACAGGAGAAAAGAGCTACTCCTCAACCCGGAAAAGGACTCCAGAACAGATTTTTAATGAAAGATATAATGCCCTTGTGAAGTTTATTCGTACTATGAACTCGTTAAAAGGTTAGTGACTTACATGATATGTGAATCAATGAAACTGGGTTTATACTAACTAAGATCGGTACCTTTTTCAAGACTTAATGACGAAATACAGATTTATTTCCTCGAGATGCTCCAACCGAGAATCCAAGTAAAGTATCACCCCAGCCTATTACTTCAATATTGTTTTGATTCATATTAATGTAAGTAATAATTACTGACATGCTTTCTTACTTTAGAATATGCATCATCGGCGCCGGAATGGCTGGTATACATATTTGGATAAATCATTTCACTTGTACACACATGCCATCATTAACCTTGTGCATCTATTCATCAGGTCTATTCTCGGCTCTTCTCTTGAAAAAGGCAGGAATCAAAGATATGATCATTCTTGAATACCAAGGACGTGTTGGTGGACGTGTTCATACACTACTTTACCGATGATCCTGATGATGAAAGACTACTGTATGGGAACTTGGTGCTATGAGTTTGCCTTATATTGAAGGTCGTCCAGATCTTTCCATCCATCAGATAGTTTTCGATAGATTGAATCATAAGTTCTGTCGATAATAGTCCCCATAAATTAACATTGTACCAAGCCTCATGATGTTCTAATGAGAATGCACTTGGAATACGTTCGTATTGTCGTATTCTGTAAATAAAGTACACGATAAAATTCGCATGTTATTCATACTTTTTATGCTGTTTAAATCCAGTATTCAGTACTATACTTACAAACTATATACCGAATATGTAAGCGTTTCAATTTCAAAGCTGGAACTACCAAAGTCAGCAACTGATTTCCCCCGTACTAGTCTGAACAAAACAAGTTAATCATGACATATAATACATTTACAGCATATTTTTCAACCAACTTGTCATAATATATTGTGAGATGCTTGTAAAATTCGGTATTTAATTCTGGATCTTCCTTAACATTTGTTGAGCCCATTTCTTCTAATTCAGCGGGAAAAAAACATTACTTGATTATTGGATCCTCAACATCAATCGTAAAAGAATGTATCAAACTATTGTCATTAAGTATGTTAGATCAGGAGGCAATTTTAAGAAGTAATTCTAAGATTAAATCATTAAACTTACTGTTCAGACGTAAAATTGAAATGCCGGATGCGCTCCATTTTCTGAAAAGTATTCAAAGTCACATGAACAATCAATACACATCCAACCATCAAACAAACGAATAAAAAAAAGAAAGAAAATTCATCTGTAAAAAAATTAAAGAAGGATCATTTAATTTACAGTTTCTTTTAAATTTAATAAAACCACAAAGAATTTTACCTTGTTGATTTCTTTCCAGGAGGACACGATCTTGCTCGAGATGACATGTTTCAAGGCTTTGATATCATTTTTTTAATTTATCATTAATTTATTTGATTCATCAATTTCATGATATAGAAAGACACATTTCTCGCGAAGTCTTTTAAATTCACTTTGTAAAGTTTCAATTTCTAATTCAAATTCCGAATCTTTACATTGTAATCTACGATGATCTAAATCTAATTTTTCAAAAGAATCTTTTATATCAATATCATGTATTGAATTGTTCATTAAGTTGTTTCAATTCTTATTAATAAATTATTCTCCTCTTCAATTTCTTTCAATTTTTTAGATAAGTGTTGCTTATCTACTTCTAATAAATTATTATTTTGTTGTATTTGAACATTTTGTTGTTGCAACTCATTGTATTTTTTTATATATCCATTATTATTTTCTTTTATGAAAAGATTTCCTTTTTAATTGTGATTCTGAATCGGCTATACCTCTCTATCTGCTCTAATAAAATTTCCTTTTGTGATATTAAATCTTGGGCAGATTTTATCGTTGCTGTAGTGCACGAATCTTTGATTTTAAAGATTCCGTTAAAGAATTTAACCCTTCCCTTTCTAGCTCAGATTCATAATAACGAGAATTTATGTTTTATCTCAATCAGATTATTACTCTTGTTATCGCCATCATTATTTGTTGTAGTTATTGCTGGAAGTGGGTGAAGGATGTTCCATAGTAATCAGATTTCATTAATCGATAAAACAATAACAAAAACAAAGGGGGGACTCGTATAGAACATCTATTACGCGTCGAAGCTTCCATTTTAACTTTCTGGTTATATTTTCACCAAAAGATTTTCCGTAAATATTGATATCTATATCCTTGAAAATATGATGGTTATCAGCTTCCGTTTTATCCAAACAAATCCTTTTCGACTTTCGTCCTTCATTATAGTCTATGTCCTGTCTTTTTCTTAAAAAATAGGATTCCTAAATGACAAATTAATTTAGTTTGAAATTAATGAGTTTTGCACAGATTTGAAAAACACGAACAAAAACATTTACCTTTTCCTGTAAATTTGATTGCTTCTTCCCAGATTTCTATAACATGTAAAGAAGGATGTGTGAGAAAGATCCTTAACATAAGGAAAGGTATATAGCCGATTCCTTTTCCACAATCATTAGACCTTTAATAGTAAGCTGTGCACGTTGCAGAGGTGAAAACATTCACAGTCTGAACGCTCTTCTTCCCACAGGATCACGTCCCAAGGCGTATCACACTCACTACGCTCGTTAAATATTTTATGTAAAAAGTACTAACCTTTAATTCGCGCTTTAACGCCAACACTTTCTGAACTATTTTTGTTTTAGGTCCTATGTTATTTACCAACACTTTTAGCTCACAACCTAAGGATTTATATGACTTCCACTCCAACGCATCGGGACATTCTTCTTTGAAGAAAAATTATTCCCACGTGACTAAAGACCATTCCATATAAGGTCTTTCCCAATAAGAATATCGAAGTTTTCGCGAGACTTCCTCCGGTGACATAGGTAACATAGAAAAAGGTAAAGAAACAAAGTAACAAAATATGAGAATACCCATTAAGCTAAATGACTTTATAGACAAGTACAAAATATAAATGTGCAAATATATTTAAAGACGCGACGCGTTTTCAATCCCCAATATTTCAGTCAGGATTATGTCGATCGATTTATGGTATAAAAATATAAAAATGCCGATCAGAAGATTCTAGACGTTTTGAAAATTAATTAATTATTTAAAAAATATTACCTTTTTTATGGATACCGAAATTCTGGTGAGTTTTATGGAAAGGGAACGGATTCGTTAATGAATTTATTTTTTTTTAATTAACAAATACTTTAACATTTATGACGGATCAGAATTGAAGGTAAGAGAAAATTGTTAAACTTTTTTTTAAATAAAAATGAAAATAAAAACATTATTTTACCTCTTTTGTATCTTTTGTAAATATCAGAATCTTTTTAAATCAGAAGTGACATTTACTTACTTTTCTTTAAGATAAATCAAAAATTAATTAATTTAAATCAACCTTAGATAGTATCAATAGATCAGAGATAAGTTTATGGAAAGTGAATGTTTCTGTTAATGATTTTTTTTTAAAATTAAACAAAGATACTAAATTTACTTATTTTTTTTAGAATGAATTAAAATTTATCAATTTCAATTAGTCTTGAATAAAAGTTCTATGTATAAAAAGTAAATAAAAAAGAAAATCAATATTTTTTTTTTTTAAAAAATAAATAATAGTATTTACTTATACTATATAGAATAGATCAAATTCTTTAATCAATCCTTAATATTAGAAGTGAATTCTGCAAATATATCATTTTTTTTTGATTCATCAAATTGTGTAATGGAATACATTACCTTTTTTGATTCAAGGAGTTTGATCATGAGATAATTTGATAAATTTATTTTACAAAAAAATATCACATGAGCATTGAAAATTGTTCCAAACATAAGATTTGTGAAATTTATTTTTTAATAAGAGATCAGCATGATCAACTGATGTGAAAAAAAACATATTTTTTCATATAAAAATTTGAAAAAAAGTAAAAAAAGCGTAACTTTGTTTCATTTTTTACAAAATTAACTATACCTGAACTATTAAGAAAAAATATACCCTTAAGTTATTTTATAAAATAAATAGTATAATAAATATTATAGCAGTCAAAACCTTTAAAACAATTAACTGTCAGAATATTATTTAATACTATCTTTATAGATATTTTCATTTGTATTCTATTATAAATTTTTTTATTTAAACTAGCCAATATTTTTTTTGTTCCAGTACCCACACCACAAATAAGATAGTACTAAGTAAATTAGGATGAATATGATGATCATTTTGAGGTAGTCATTAATTATTTATTAATTAAATAAATATAAATAGTTTTTGATGAGTATAAAGTGTATTATAGTAATAATTATATTAGATTAATTTATTTTGTTGTTTGTAATTTTTATAATTATTAATTAATTATGGTTCAATTATAAGTTAAATTTTATTTAAAAGTAACATTTTTAATTAAAAAATTATATGTGATCTAGTTTGAGAAATATTTTCTAATCTTTGATATTATAGAATCATATCTTGATCAGTTTTAAAGGCTAATACATTAAGATGAGATATTTCTATATCATTTTAGAAGAAATATCTGCTAAGTGCAATATACGTTTGACCTAAAGAAAAGATATTTCTAATTAAGGCAATGCATATTTTTGGTAGGGTTAGTCCTTGAGTTTTTATAAACAATAAGTATGAAGCAATTTATAAGAAAAATTATGTATGATAGCAATTATATCCATAAGTTTTAAAATAATGATTTTGTTTATAATATCTATATTAATAATTGATCCTTTTCAGAGAAAGCAACTCGTATGCATTCATCTAAAGGGTTTGTATCAATAATTACACTTATTGTATCATTGCATATATTATGATCCATAAAAGAATTATTGAGAAACATAATACATACAGCTAGTTGTAAGTAAATGGACGGTGATAGGTTTATTTTTTGTTTAAACATTTGATTTGATTATAAGGGAATCTATTATTCAGCATTTACAAAATCTATTACTTGTAAAATTAAGAATTTATCTTCTTGAATAGGAAGAAAATTACATATTATTCTATTAATTAAATCAGCATTTACTTTAAAACTTATAATATGAATAGTGTTTAGTAATATATTAAGTAATACTTGAGTTAAAAATTATGAGTGATATTGTTGAAATTTAATTTATATTTCCTGTGAATTATTATTCATATGTATCTCTTCTAATATGTAATAAAATTCTTTATTACTATTTTGACATTGTAAGGTTTTTAAGAATAATAGATAGAATAGTTTTTATACTGAAATGTAAAATACAGATTAACCAGTGACCAGAGATAATTAAACAAAATTTTTTATAGTTATAATATTTATTCTGCTAAATGTTAAAGTATTATTATAAAGGTTAGCAAATATATTTAAAATAAAATCAAGAAGATCTGCAGAAATAATAGAGATTTCTTCAATAATTATAGTTTCTACTTTTGTCAACGATTATCTTAGTTCATTATCTATATAAGTATGAGTATAAAAACTTTTTTATGTAAAAGTGATTTGTTATTTTGAATAAATAGTTATACTTAAGAAATGGAAAAGTTTAGATCTAGGACTTTAGGATTTAATCTTTGATTTCATTCTTGGTAAGACCTGGTCTTAATTTTTGGGATTTTATTTAGACAATCCAATTTGATCTTTATATAAAATTTTAATAAATAATATAAATTAAATTTTAATTTTACAGATATTTGCATATTACAATTTAATTATAATTACATGAAATATGTAAATCGATTAGATTTTAATTAAATATTACATATCACATCTTTTTATTATCAAATTTCATGTTTTATATTATAAAATTTTTCAGCAAAAATATCTTATTTGAACTATGATTTTGAAGATTTGAATGATATATAACAATGAATTTAACAATATAAAAATAATTAGCAATTTAATTTTGTAATATATTAATTATAATAAAATTATTAATAATAATTAAATTATTAATAATAATTAAATTATTAATAATAATTAAATTATTAATAATAATTAAATTATAAATAATTAATTAAGATATTTGAGTATAATACACATTTATGAATTTTAAAGAGTACTATACTATAAGAAATACTTTGTTTAAGAGAATATATAATAAATTTTTAATAATTCAGTAATATTGAATATAAAGATGGTCATCACAATTAAAAAAAATAGCACAATTAAATTGCAACTTGTGGCACAATTAAATTTCCTTATGGCGCAATTAAGTTGCAACTCAATTAAAATTTGAAAATAATTATAGGGACCATCTTTAATTGAATATTTAATCAAAAAGATATTTTTTTAAAAAAAAAATGTATATGCGTTTACGTGATGTTTATTAAAATAGTTATTTATATTATTTATATTATTTATATTAATAAAAAAGGAAATACAATTGTATTTTTAACAAAATCAAAAAATTATATATAGAGATAGTATTTGCAAGGGTAAAGGTTAAGGTTGTTAGTGATAAAATTATTTTTTTGTGTGAAATACATGAAATTTAAGAAGGTTTTTACTTCTAACAAAACTTTTAACTACAGATCAGAATTTTTAAAAAAAGTATTATTTAAAAGAGAAAAAAAATGTATATAATCTAATATAACTATAATTATTAATAAAATGGAAATTATAAAATAATGTTAATTTAAAAAATGAAAAAATTATAAGTTTTTATAAAAAATTTTAAAAAATTTTTTAATCTTTAATAAAAAATTATTGGCATTAGAAAGCTTGAAATTAGAAAAATTGGGAAATTCTAATAGCTTCTAATCTTAAAGTATAATACTTTCGAATATTAAAATAAATACTATATGCTAAAATAAAAATTATTTAACAGTTTAGACTTAGTCTTAATTTCAGTTCTATATAAATTACAGGATTTTTATAAAGATTAAGTCAGTCTATCTATATATCAGAATTGACAGGTTCTAAAATTTTAACTGAACTTTAACAGACTTTCTATACTCTAATTATACCTCTTATATTTTAAGGTCAGAACTAGTAAAAGATAAGTCTATTATTTTCAGGTAAAGATATTTAATATTATATTAATAATGTATGATTTAATAGTACTTGTAGATCCAATTATAAAGAAGTATGACCATTTAGAAATACTATTATTACTTTTACCTAAATATATATTGATAGTTAATATACATGATATTGATTATGAGAAAGTTCAAGCATAACAGTTTCTGGATAGATACAAAGAAGGATTTTTAGGTGATTTATCTGAGTTCAGATAATATTAGAAAGAGTAATAGGAAGCTGAGTTCTTAATAAGTGTAATAATCTATTTAGCATTAATATAAATTAATTATTTAAAGATATTATTTATAACTGATATATATTAGCAGTCTGATTATATAAATTAGTTAAATATTTGGTATAAAAATAAGAATTTTTCATGGTAAGTATCATTTGGTCTAATTTTTAATCAGTTTTAAATCTTGTTAATATATTTAAAAGTAATTGTTAATAAAAATGAAGTTTACTATCTTTAATCTTAAAGAATTGATATTTTACTATTATATCTTTTAATCATTTAATAATATAATTGTTTAATTCATCATGATAGATTATATGAGAAATTATAAGTAATAATAAGGTATAATTAAATATCTTTTAAAATACTGAGAATATGTAAGGTTATCAAATTCAAGAGTTCGCAGTTATGATATATATATTATTATAATATCATTATAGTATAGATTTTTATCATCTTCATTAATCATGTAAATGGGAAGTATATTGGAAAATCTTATAAAAGATAGTTTAGTCTTTAAAAATTTTACTGTTACATATGAATTACATATCTGGTAACTTAAAAGTAAGAATATTAATTCCATAGAACTAAGTCTTCTTGTGATAATATGTTCTTTTAATAAATCATTTTTATAGATATTAAATACGTATAAAGATTCTCTTTTTGTGATATATTTTATTATATAATAGGCAAAACCTTTATCTATTATATATTAAGCATTCATATGAGTATTTCATATTAAAAATATTTGAGGGTAATAAGGAACTACTTATGAATCTGATTCTGTTAAACATTTGTAAATATAATAGTAACTTCTTTCTTTATAGTAAATTATAGTACTAAATGAACATAAAAAACCTTTCTTACATGTTTGATTTATGATCATTAGTCCTTAATATTATGCATTGTAAGTGTGTATCTAATGGGTTACTACAGCTATATAAAGTTTAAGTTCATATAAAGGATTAGGTATTGTAGAATAGATTACATTATTTTCAATCATATTATTAATAAAATTGGTAGTCTAATAATAACTGTGTATATGTGCAACACCTTAATTCTGAAATTTAATTCTATCAAAAAATTTGTGATCTGACTAAAACTGGTAAATTCAGATTTTTTATAAAGTTCTTTTTTTAAAGATTAAATCTGCATACAAAATAATTTGCATAGTGAAATAGTCTGTTTGTTGGAAGAGTATTACTATTATTATTATTAAAAAGAATATCACGAAAGTATTATCAAAGACTTTTAGCTATGCTAAGTATTATAAATAATGTTAGTAACCTAATATTATGAATAATCACGTTTAAATAAAGTTATTTTTGATGAAAATAGGAGTCTTCAGTACATATAAAAGTAGAAATTAGTATTATTTTAATTTTATTAATTATATTATAAGATGAATATAAACTGGATTAAATTAATTTTCTAGTAGAAGAATAGTTTATATTATTATTATTATTATTATTAGAGATAAAATGAGATTGTAGAAGTAAACGTTATGTATTTTGATGATGCCTTAATTTTTCAAGTTAAAGGTATGATCAGGAGGGTTAGTAATGATAAAATCTCCATCTTATATTAATATTCATTAATCTTTGCTTAATATATTTTTCATAAGTTTCTATATAATTTTTATTATCAGGTAAATTATTTTGTAATATATCATGAAAGTGATCTTTACTATCTGTAAAAAATCAAGAAAGATTAAAGGTTCTAAGTTTAGATTATAAGTCAAAATTGATACTCATAATGTTTCACTCTCCTACATAAAACTGATATAAGTCTTGTATAGTAAAAATCTTCATCATAAACTTCACTAGAAAAATCATATTCTAGGACAACAATATCATGTGTATTAATAGGAGATGCAATGAAATTAGATTGAATATATTTTGTTTTTGAAAAAGGATTATCTAACCTATTATTTGATGATAAAATAAATGCAAAAGGATGAAGATAAAAGTTATTTTATGCTAACTAAATAGCAACTTATCATAGAGTTTTATTATAAATCAAAGTTTTAGAATTATTAGCAAGATGATTAATCTTATTTAGTTCTAAAAAACTTTTAATATCTCAAAATATAATGTATAAGATCTGATATTTTATGAATAGTTGATAGTTCTAGTGAGATTTCTATATTTAGAATAAGGGCTGCTATTTAGTGTTCTTTCTAAAGAGCAGTGAAGATAAATAGGTGATAGATGATTTTTTTATACAAAGGAATAGAAAGGATTTCTTCTGGTAAAGGAGATAAATAAAAGGAAGAGAATCATATAGAGAGTTTCTTATATGATTCGCATGTAGAAACCCTTAATTTAAGAATATAATTAGTATTTAGATTAAAAGATAAAAAAATATTAGGTATATATTATTGTAATAGATAAACGAATAATGAATCAAAAATATCCAAGATGTTTTTTCAGAATATAAAAGTTTTTTACAATATATGCAAGAGATTTGTGAATATTAAGTTAAGATATTATTTTAAAATTTATAATATAATCTTAAAAGTTTTGATAAAAATCTTCAATACAATATATTAAATGTATGAAGTAATGATCTTTGAAGATTAACAGATATGTTTATTAATGATTCAATATTAAAATTATTATTAGTTATATCTGATAAATCTACTAAAGTTTTATAATCATTATCAAATATGTATATATTATAAAATTAATAAGTCATATTTTATTAGTGTTATTTTTTCTGCTTTTAGGTTTATTTTTAGATTTTTTTTTGTACTTTAAACATTTAAATGACATCTTTATAAGTTTTTTTTATTATACATTTATTATTTTATCAGATAAAAAAAAAGATGATAATATAAAATATTTTTCATTTTTTTATTTCATTTGAATTATTTATTTTATTTATTATAATTTAATAAAAAAGTAAATAATAACTATTGTGTTTTTTATTATATTTTATTTTATAGTATAATGTATAAATGCTAAAAATGCTAAATAAATGTATATGTTTAATAAAATATATATATTATCAGATAATGTTTGCATAACATTTTATCTAATCAAAATTGGTTATTTTTATAAATCATGTAAACATTTTTTTAAATCTTAATATTTATGAATTTAAAAAAATAAATAAAAAAAAATTAAAATAAATATAAGAAATTCTATAAATAAATATCATATAAAATAGAAAAATATATAATATAAAAATCTAAATAATTACTTTACTTTTAAGAATCCCAGGGTTTAAATCTACAAAAAGAAAATGGGAAAAAGAATGTTAGTATATATTTTTATAAGTGAACAATTAATCTGCACCTCTTATACTACTAAAATATAATTACAGTACATTTTACTGAAACCTGTTTTACCAAAATCCCCTTTGCTGAAGCTAATTTACCAAAGAATATTTTGCAGAATAGCCACTTCACTGAATGTCCATTTTGCTAAATTAACCTTTTACCAAAAAGAAGTTTCGCTGAATGAACATTTCACTGAGAGAACACTTTGCCAAAATAATGTTTTGCTGAATTCATTTTACTGAATGAACACTTCTCTAATTTATTTTACTGAAAGAACATTTTATTGAAAATGAAAATAATTTACTATTAGTTGTTAGCAACTTACTAGATTTATTAAACTTTCTTTATTATTTTCAATGAAATTTTAAGAAAAAACTTACTTTATAATATAAAACCTAAAAATGATAAGTTAAACAAATATTACACAATAGTTATTTTTGATGAAATTTTCTTTTAGTAAAACAGATTTAGCGATGTGTTCGTTTAGCAAAAAGGATTCAGCAAAATGTCATTTCAGCAAAACAGCATTTTGGCAAAGTGACCTTTCAGCAAAATAATATTTCAGCATAAACGTCTTTTTGTGAAAATTTCATTTGGTAAAATTGTCATTTAGTGAAAAGTCCTTTTAGTAAATTAACTTTAGTAAAGTGGGTTTTGATGAAATGAATTTAGCGAAACATTCAGATACCTTAAAATAATCTTCTAAGAAAATTAGAATTAAAATTTATAAAAAGAAAAGATAAGAAAAGAATATTAGCGTATATTTTTATAGATAAATGACTAACTTACATTTCTCAAACTACTGAAAATAATCTTTTAAGAAGCTCAGAGTCAAAATCTACAAAAAGAAAAGATAAAAAAAAATGTTAGCGTGTATTTCTATAAGAAAAAAACTAACTCAAACCTATTATATCACTGAAACAGCTTTTCAAGAAGCTCAAAGTCAAAATCTATAAAGAGAAAATAAAAAAAGAATATTAGCATATGTTCTTATAGGTAAATAACTAATTCACATTTCTCATATCACTGAAATAATCTTTTAAGAAGTCCAGGGTAGAAATCTATAAAAAGAAAAATCCATTAGTATGCATTCTTATAAGTGAAAGATCAACTTAAACTTACTACATCACTGAAATAGCCACTTTAAGAAGTTCAGAGTTAAAATTTACAAAAAGAAAAGAAAAAGAGCATATTCTATTAAAATACAATGAATGCTCTTAATTTAATTTTTTAAAGACAGTAGTAGAAGAGATTTTGTAAGAAAATTATGAAAAAATTTTTATTTTTAGAGATTGTGATGTAAAAAAAAAAGAAAAAAATAAAGTTTTTTTTTATAATAAACTAATTTTTTTTATTTATATACCAAAAAATAAATAAATTTAAATTCAATTTTTTCTTTTTATATAAATTAAAAAAAAATAATTTTTGTTAAATAAATAAAAAAAATCTAAAATTTAAAATAATAAAATAAATTAAAAATTTTAATCAAATAAATTAAATTTCATAATATAAAAAAAATTTATTCTTCTTGTGAAGTATTATTATCAATCACATAGTCAGTAGTAGCAACAGTTATGAAGATCATATCGGAACATTGATGAGATAGGATTTACTTCTAAAATCCTAGAAATTACCTATTTTTAATTCTATACTTTTGACTTAAAGTTTTATGACCTCTTTTTGAAATAACACCTTGAGGTGTATAACTTATTTGATTATTACTTCTTGATGATAGATTAAGCTACAGTATGTTTAAAGCTTGTTGACTATTGCTATTATTTCAATTAGTGAAAATTAATAAAATGTCTTTAAACCTAAGCTCATACTTTTCAGGAATTATTTCATCTTAGGTGATTTCATCGATCGTAGATAAAATATAGGTAATTATACCTACTAATATAGTGATCATTGATCTTATGATTTAGTTTATAAAATTAGTCTTATTTGCAAGATACTTAAGATTAAAATCATGAAATGCATCAATCCAAAATTTGCGAGTTTTCTTTCACCCAAGTTTTCTTTAATATAAAAATTGAAATGTGATTTTCCATTTATATTTTTTATAGTTTTAGTTATATGTCCTAATATTATTATGTTTAATCTAATAGATAGCATAATATCATAATGTAAATTTTGTATAATTTTTATTGATGTAGTATTTACTTAGATTATTTCATTTATAAATAAAACAAATTATTAATTTAATTAACAAAATTGAGTAAATAACACGAAATGAAATTAATCACATACAGAATAATATCTAAAATATACAACAAATTTTTCTTTCAAAGAAACTACATCACTAGTATTAAAATCTTCAATTTGAGATTTAATATTTTGATTTGATAGAATGAATACTTTAACTTTTAAATATATAACTTTCATTAGATTATTATCATCAATTCTAGACAATGTAATAATTTCTTTAATAGTAAATACTTAGATTAGTCATTCTGTATATTCATGGATATAATAAATCATAAAAATATTTACTAGCATTATTTTAATTTTAATTTTTTTTTTATAAGAATAATTCCTTATTTTGTTTTGATAAAAAAATGTTTTTTTTTGTTTTTTATTTTTTTGTCAAGAAAAAAATATTTTTTTTTTCAAAAACTTTTTAATATTTTATTTATTATTTAATAAAAAAAATTAACATAAGCAAAATACAAAAAAAAAGGAAACCTGCTAATTTTTGTTAGCATATTTCTGAATTTAATAGATCATTTTTTATTATTATAATATAAAAATATCAGAAAACATATATAGAGGCCTTAAGAAATATTACTATTTAAATATTAGGTTAAGATAAGTTAACATTTATAATCTGTTATTATTCCAAAAGGCACTTTGATACTAATATTATCTTTTATGTGTCATTAATTAATAAAAATTAATACTTTAATTTTATATTGTTAAAAAAAACCAAATATTTTTTTATTATATAATCTGAAAAAATTTATATATATAATTCAAATATGAAAGGTAAGAGGGTAGGGTGTTATCATTCTAAATCTAATATCTATTTATAATCAATGAGCATACCTAATCAATTAGAATTAAGGTTAGGATTAAGATTAAGAATACTCTATATTAAATCTGCAGTCAAAATTACGTAGATTGATTTAACTAAAAAAGAATATTATAGACAAGTATTTTTTTGATCTTAAATAAAAACTTTATGAGAATTATTAATATTTTTTATTTAAAAAAATTATATCATAAGACTCATATTACTGTGTATATAAATTTGAATAGGAAATATATAGGATCTGTTTTCTTTTCTATGATAAAAAATTAATATTTAATAAAGGTTATTTATCGAATTAAAAAAAAGTCTATGTGTTAAATCAAAAAAGTATATTCTTTATCTTGTGATCAAACTCTCTGAATCAAAAAAATATAGTATTCTATTATACAATTTGATGATCAAAAAGTCTATATATCAAATCATAAATGATATATTTGCATGAATTTTATAAAGAAAAATATTAAAAAATTAAAATACTTTACTATTTTTATAATACTAAAATTATTTTAACTTAAATTGATATAAAGATGAATTTTATAAAAGAAAAAGAAAACTATTAATATATAATTTTTTTAATAAAAGAAAAATACTAATATTTATTTTACTTTTCTATTATCACAATTTTCAAAATTTTATTATAGATCATTATGAATTATCAGATTATTAGATTATTAATTTATATAATTAATTATACAGTACGCGAAAAAAGTTTTCAGAATAATAACAATTCAGTATAGAAAACTTTTAATAATTCGTGCAGTATTGCAATATATGATCAGCAATAAAATTTTATATGGTCACGCAGATTATATTTTTATATAAGAATAGCAGGTTTGGAATTGTAAATATAAACTTATATACTGTACATATGAAAACTATAAATCAAATACTGAAGAATGATGTCCGAGGTTGTTGGAACGGCCATCAAAAAACTCGCACCTCAATTCAATTGAAAATTTATAGGCAATTTTAAGAGGCGTGTAGAGAAACAGGTTAATATATTGTTGGTAAAAAATTCAATCACTATAGATGTTTTCTTGATATAATCAAAAAGAGTAGGAGATAATTGAGCCCGAAATATTTATTAATTTAATTAGTAGTATGTCAGTATGTCAGAACAAGTAATTGAGGGTAATGGTAATAAGATAAGCTATTAATTAAGCTTAAACAACTTTTTTTCTATAATAATAAAGAATATATATTTTAAATTTTATGCAATTTCTATTTATTTTCAGAGTATAATAAATTAAGATGTGATTCCGAAAACTTTTTTCGCGCACTGTATGTATATTAAATTTATTCAATATACGTTTTGTCATATCTTTATTTTATGTTTATTGAATATAATATAAAAATATATTATATATCTGTAAATGTATATATTGTAATTATAATCAAAATATAAAAGTATATAAGTATAATAAAATAGTAAAATCTAATAAAAAAAATTGCATTAAAAAGTTCTATATGTATTTATAAGAAATTTTGAATAAAATATAACTCTTTATAGAAAAATCTTTATTCAAGAAAAAAGGAACTTTATTTTTATAATATTAATTTAAAATAAAAGTTTTCTTTTGTTCTTTATTTTATATGTAATAATAAGTATTAAAAACTTTCTAATATAAATTTATTACTTCTAAAATCTTTAATTTATGATCTGCCAGTGAAATATAAAATTTTTGATAAATTTATTAATGATCAGTAGTGATAATTGCAATATAAAAATTTGCTTTGCATCTGAATCTCTTATTTCTTAATACTACTATTTCTAAAAAACTGTATTTATAAAATGAGTAAGTATAAAAAATATGATGTTTTATTAATAAAAATAAGAAAATTAGATAATGAATTACATTTTAGAATATTTGGACATTTTTGGTGGCAATCACGTGATGATAGATTATATCTTATATATTTAGAAATGAAAACCCTTGTCATACTTAATAAACTCACTTTATAATTACTGTAGTTAAAAAAACTTCAGTTTCTACCTTTTAACCTAGTTATATTTATAAAGCAAATAGTATGTAAGTTCTATTTATAATACTCTTCCTGTTGTAATTAACTTTTTATATTACTTGTTATTCAGTTTAAAAATAAGATTTTCTGGTCTATTTATATGTGGTTTTGATAATAAAAAAATTAATAAACAAATTTTAGAAAATATTCCTTTTCAACTATTTACAATAAAAGTCAGTAATTTACAAATATTTATTAGAATGTTTGAAGTTTTAGATTAAGAAAATTTGGGATATGCAGGTTCAGAATATTTGTAATCTTTTATTTATAAAATTGGTATAGAAAAATATAAATATTATTTGTATAGCAAATTCATCAGCGACATTGTTCAATAATCTTATATCAAGATGAGTAAATTAAATTCAGATATAGTGGAAAGAATTCAGATGAAGTTTGAAAAGAAGCTTGAAAAAAATTGGAATACTATAAGGTTGGGATAGAAAAACTTTATTTGATATTAATTATGAGAAACTCAAAATTTAATAAATATTCTCTGAATACCTTCTTGTATAATTAATAAATGAAATTATGAAATTATGATAATATAATTATATAAACATTATTTATATAAATTTACTCCGGTAAGTACTTTTTATTATAAGTTTTTACTTAATTGGAAGGAACAAAAATGTAATATAATAGAATTTATAATGCTCTCAAACATATATATCTAGGAGAATATTAATTTAATGAAAGAAAGCTTTGTATTTAAAAAGCATTATTATGTAGTATCAGATGTACCAATATTATACCATTTGATAAAAACATATTAGAGGTAAAAAAGTATGATAATTCTTGAAAAAAAATATATATTTATTTTTAACAACAATAATTTTTTTAGAAAGAATTTTAGACTAATACTGAAAATCCAGTTAATAACAAAAACATTCTTCTTTACCTTTATAAGAATAATTTTCTTAATACGTCTCTTGATATATTTTTTTTAGATAATCATTCTAATCTAATTATAGATAAATTTTGGTCTTATTTTAACAAATCTCTAAAAAGAAACAAAAAAGGATCTGATGGAAAAAGGAGAATTTTATCAATAATTGCAGATAATTTTTCATATGAAGAAATAAGAACAGACTTAGTGATTAGTTATTTTTACCTTATTTCATTTTTGCTATAAATTTACTTATCAAATTCTTATTATAGGTTGTTCCAACTACAATTTTTAGTACTCGTAAATATACTAGATTAAATGGCCCAAATGCTAAGCAAATTGAGAAACCTATAAGAATAGGAGCTAGATTATCACAAGAAAAATTGAAACAATTTAGCAATTTTTTTGAAAATAAAGCTAATATTATTATATCATCTTACAAAACTGATACTAAAATTCAATTACCTGTTTTTTATCTAAAAAATACAAAAAAAGCATTGTGAGAAAAATTCTAAGAAAGATATCCAAATAGTTTAAAATGAATAACCTTTTATCATTGTGATGGGTAAAATTTTAGATAGATTTAATTAGTAGAAAATAAAGTCAATTTTATTGCTATATAGATTTTTTATAAAGATCATTTTGTCTATTTTATTGCCATTGATCA